TGGTAGTTGATTCCGCCTTGGTTGCCGAGCCAGGGGTCAAACTCGTACTTGTACAGGTCGAGGTCACTGAAAGGAGGTCAAGATGCCGTGGTAATGTTTCATCTGTAACTATCTAACCGTATGTATGTGCATCTATCTATCTGTATTTATGTATCTAGGTGCGTGCGTGTGTGTGAGTATGTATGTATGTGTATGTGTGTGTGTGTTTATGTGTGTATGCATATGTGTATGTGAATATATATATATATATATATATATATATATATATATATATATATATATATATATATATATATATATATATATATATATATATATGTGTGTGTGTGTGTGTATGTATATGTGTATAAAAGTACCCTACACATCCTCACCGGGGGAAGGACTTGATCTTCCAGGCGTCTCTCAGCGTGTCCAGATGGGGCGAGGACCTGCAGGCGGCCATGGGGATCCTGGGCCACATGCTGAGGAAGGCGTGGCACATCTCGTCTCTGGCGCCCCACCCGGCGAAGGTGGCGTTGGGCCGGTCGCGACTGTCCTGGCGGCACTCTACAGGGGGGAGGGGGGGGGGGAGAGAATGAGGATGAGAGAAGGGGGAGAGATGGAGGAAGAGAGAGGGAGGAGAATAGAAGGAAGGGGAGAGAGGGGGAGGAGGAGAGAGGGAGGGAGAGATGGAGGAAGAGAGAGGGAGGAGAATAGAAGGAAGAGGAGAGAGGGGGAGGAGGAGAGAGGGAGGGAGAGATGGAGGAAGAGAGAGGGAGGAGAATAGAAGGAAGAGGAGAGAGGGAGGGAGAGGTGGAGGAAGAGAGAGGGAGGAGAATAGAAGGAAGAGGAGAGAGGGGGAGGAGGAGAGAGGGAGGGAGGAGGAGAGAAGGGGGAGAGAGGGAGGAGAATAGAAGGAAGAGGAGAGAGGGGGGAGGAAGAGAAAGGGAGGAGGAGAGAGGGAGGAAAGACGAGAGAGAGGAAGGAGGAGAGAGGGAGGGAAGACGGAGAGAGAGAGGGAGAAGGAGATAAGAAGGAGGAGGAGAGAGGGAGGGGAAGGCAAGGAGGAGGAAAAAGTTAGGAAGATAACAGGAAGAGAGAAAAAAAAAGTAGAAGAGAGATAGGAGGAGAGAGCGAAGAGGAGAAAGCGAGGAGGAAAGAATGGGGAGGGAGAAGTGGGGGGGAGGAAGGGAGAAAAGGAGGGAGGGAGATGGAAGAGTGGGAGAGATAGGTAAAAAGAAATAGAGAGATAGGAATAGGGGACGTAAAGGGAAGAAGGAAGTAGAAAAATAAAATAAAATAAAGAAGGAAGGGGAAGGAGAGAACAGAGGAGAGATGTGGGGATAGGGGGGGGGGTACTTAAAAAGCAAGGGATAGATAGAGGCAGACACACACACACGCACAGAGTGAGAGAGAGAGAAAGAGAGAGAGAGAGAGAGTGAGAGAGAGAGAGAGAGAGAGAGAAAGAGAGAGAGAGTGAGAGAGAGAGAGAGAGAGAGAGAGAGAGAGAGAGAAGAGAAAGAGAGAAACGGGGAAGGGAGCAGACAGACAGACAAAGAAAGAGACACACAGAGACAGACAAACATTATCTTTAATCTTATTCTCACTTTTCTTATTCTCCTTTCGATTTCTCTTATCCTCCTATTCTTCCCATTAACATTCTTTCTCTTTCTCCTTTTATTATTACTCTGCTTCCTGTTCTATCTACACATCACCTTTCTGATTATCCATTATCTCTTCTTTCATTTCCTTCATTCCTATTCATCCTATTAATAACATTTCCATTTTCTATTCACTATTAATCTTTACACTTTTCATCACATCACCTTTCCCCTCCTCTCTTTATCACCCCTTATCCGTATTCTCCTTCATCACCATCTTTCTGTTTATTCCCCTTACCCCTATCCTCCCCCATCATCATATTTCTCCCTCTCTCAAAACCTCTGCTCATCACCTTTCCCCTCCTCCTCTCTTTATCACCCCTTACCCCTATTCTCCTTCTCTTTCATCTTTCCCTTTATTCCCCTTACCCCTTATCCTCCCCATCATCATATTTCTCCCTTTCTCAAAACCTCTGCTCATCACCTTATCCCTTCCTCCTCTCTTTATCACCCCTTATCCGTATTCTCCTTCGTCACCATCTTTCTCTTTATTCCACTTATCCCTATCCTCCCCCATCATCATATTTCTCCCTTTCTCAAAATCTCTGCTCATCACCTTTCCCCTCCTCCTCTCTTTATCATTCTTACCCCTATTCTCCTTCGTCACCATCTTTCTCTTTATTCCCCTTATCCTCCCCCATCATCATATTTCTCCCTTTCTCAAAACCTCTGCTCATCACCTTTCCCCTCCTCCTCTCTTTATCATTCTTACCCCTATTCTCCTTCGTCACCATCTTTCTCTTTATTCCACTTATCCCTATCCTCCCCCATCATCATATTTCTCCCTCTCTCAAAACCTCTGCTCATCACCTTTCCCCTTCCTCCTCTCTTTATCACCCCTTATCCCTATTCTTACCAACAGTCAGGTGATCTCCAGGGTAAATCTTCACCGGCTCGCTCAGAATTCTTGCCTGCTGGAAATTGGCGTCGAAGTTCTTGTCTTCTCCGAGTGGCGCCAGTTCGCGGCCGTTTCGGAAGTGTCTCAGTTTGATGCTGCGAGCTGAGGGGGAGAGGGGGGGATAGGGGGTGAGGGGGGGTGAGGGTTAGGTTGGGGGGGAGAGGTTAGAGTTGGGGGGGTAGGGGTGTTGGGGGTGTAGGGGGGGGGAGTGAAGGAAAATTGGTTAGAATTGGGGGTGAGAGTGATGGGGGGGGGTTGAGGGTTGGGGGGGGGGGGAAGCGAAGGAAAAATGATTAGAATTGGGGGTGAGAGTGATGGGGGGTGAGGGTTGGGGAGGGTAGGGGTGTAGGGGGTAAGAGGGGAGAAAACAGAGGAAAAATGGTTAGCATTGACGGTGAGAGTGATGGTGGGGGTGGGGGAGAAAACAAAGGAAAATGCTTAGAATTGTGTGTGAGAGTGATGGTGGGGGTGAGGGAGAAAGCGAACGAAAATGGTTAAAATTGGGGGTGAGATTTATAGTGGGGGTGGGGGAGAAAACGAAGGAAAAGGCTTAGAATTGGGAGTGAGAGTGATGGTGGGGGTGGGGGAGAAAACGAAGGAAAAATGGTTAGAATTGGGGGTGAGAGTGATGGTGGGGGATGGTGAACTGAAGGGGAGAGGGAAGGAAAGTGGTTAAAATTGGAGGAGGACGAAACAATGATAATGGAGACGATAGTGGTGTTGAGTTTGATAAATAAAAAAAAAATCGGGGGTGAGAGTGATAGTGGTGTGGATGGGTGATGGTGATGATGATGAAGATGATGATGGATGGATGGTGGTGAATTGACGGGGGAATGGGGGTTGATGTTAAAATTGCTGGTTCAGATGATGGTCATAAGCTGAGGGAACATCAGAGAAAGAATTTTATCTTTATAGGCGGTGATGATGGTGATGATGATGACGGTGCGAATTCAAAGGACAGTGCGGGAAATTATTTTTAAAAAATGGTGATAAACGTGATGATTATAGTGGTGGTGGCATCAAATTGAAGGAGACAGAAGGAAATTCTTTTAAAATGATGGTGTGAATGATGTGAATGGTGGTAATGGTGACGAAGTGATCCAAGTGAGTTTTCAAAAGATGATGGTGATAGTGATGTGATGGTGCTGCCAAGCTGATGGGAAACTGATGTAGATTTTTTCAAGTGATGGTGACGACGATAAAATAGTGCAAAGTTGATGGGACACTGAAATATATATATCTTTTAACACTAATCATAATCATCATTATCTTTGCCACTACTACAATAACAACATTTATATAATGATAACACTGATAATGAACATAAACAATTACAAAACCCACAAAAAAAAGACAAAATGAATGAATCAGCACTGGACAAAAATCCACTTGTCTCACCTGTATAATGACCATGGAGGAAAATCATGAAGACATTCACTCCGTCCTCAGGGATAGTGTCGCGAGTACAGTCTGACGAACAGTGACCTGCCGTGACCCAGTCTAACCTCCTGGGCGGCACCGTCAGGGAGAAGACGATCGAGTGACCCACGGCGAGATTCCCCGCGTCCTTCTCCCTGTGGTTGGGATAAGGTCATAAGGTCAGAGAAGAGGTCATGAGGTCAGAGATGAGGCCATGAGGTCAGAGAGGAATTCATGAGGTCAGGTAGATCATGTGGTATTTATACTGTCATATACTCTTTTTTTATTCCATGTCCATCCCTCACAATCCTACATATATATATATATATATATATATATATATATATATATATATATATATATATATATATATATATATATATATATATATATCCATGTATATCTCCTTTAAACATGTAGGTATAATTTTATCACCTTCGTTAAAAAAAAACAAAAAAAATAATCAGACTTTGGCAATTTAAAAATATATCGAAACCCATATTAACTTTACCAATTTAGAAAACTCTTTCTCTCTATGTCTATCTATCTATCTTTCTATATCTGTGTATATCTATCTATCCACCCATATCTATTTATATATTCCTATTTATCGGTCTATCTAGCTATCTGTCTATCTATCTATCTATCTACCTAACTATATACATATATACCTATCTACGTATCTACCTATCTAAATATATCTGTCTACCTATCTACGTATCTACCTATCTATCTATATCTATCTATCTATCTATCTACCTACATATTTATCTCTCTCTCTAAATCTGACCATGATTACTAAACACAGAACTCATCGTTTCTCCCTGATTAAAAAACAAAAACAAAAACAAAAACAAATACACCCTCTTATCAGTATATATATATATATATATATATATATATATATATATAAAACGGAAGTCAAAACCTGCCCTTACACTTATGATAAGAGCCTCTTTATCTCAGTGTTATCTTTCTGAAAAAAGCTGTGTGTGTGTGCGTGTGTGTGTGAACTCGCTAACTTATCTCACGTGTAATAAATAAATACATATAGACGTAGATAAACAAAAAACACGAATAAATAAATAAATGAATAAACCAATTAGTAAGTGAACACATAAATGAAAATAAATAAATAAGTATACAAACAAACAAACAAACGAATAAATAAATAAACAAACAAACAAAATAAATCACCAAACAAACAAACAAACAACCACAAACAAGCAAGAACCACACCCCCAAACAAACAACCACAAACAAACCCACAAACAAACAAACAAGAACCACACCCCCAAAACCACTCCAAAAAAAGGGGGGGCAACACACCCATCTTATCTTCTCAGTATAATAGATCCTCATCCCCTTCATCAACTTATCTTACGTGTAATAAATAAATACATTATAGACGTAGATTAAAAAAATAATAATAATAAATAAATAAATAAATAAATGAATAAACGAATTAGTAGGTGAACACGTAAATGAAAATGAATAAATAAATAAATAAGTGAACAAATAAACAAACAAACAAAATAAATCACCAAATAAACAAACAACCACAAACAAACAAGAACCACACCCCAAACAAACAACCACAATCAAACCCACAAACAAACAAACAAGAACCACACCCCCAAACAAACAAATAACCACAATCAACCACAAACAAACAAACAAACAACCACAATCAAACCCACAAACAAACAAACAAGAACCACACCCCCAAAAAAACACTCCAAAAAAAGGGGGGCAACACACCCACCTTATCTTCTCAGTATAATAGATCTTCATCCCCCATTCCACCGCGACGTCTCTCGCATAACGGGCGTTGTCGTAATGCGTCTGGAAGAGCAGGTAGGTCGACCCCCCGTGATCTTCGCCAAGGGGAAAACCCACGTGGTCGGGGAGCATTTCACCCTGTGAGAGTAAGAGGGGAAAATAAGGGTGAGAGTAAGAAGGGGAAAAAGGCGTAAGAGGGGAAAATAAGGGTGAGAGTAAGAAGGGGAAAAAGGCGTAAGAGGGGAAAATAAGGGTGAGAGTAAGAAGGGAAAAAAAGGTAAGAGTAAGAAGGGAAAAAGGCGTAAGAGGGGAAAAAAGGGTGAGAATAAGAGGGGAAAAAAGGTAAGAGTAAGAAGGGAAAAAGGGTATAAATAAGTGGGGGAAATAAGGGTGAGAGTAAGAGGGGAAAAATGTATGAGTAAGAGGGGAAAAAAAGTAAGAGTAAGAAGGGAAAAAGGGTATGAATAAGTGGGGAAAATAAGGGTGAGAGTAAGAGGGGAAAAATGTATGAGTAAGAGGGGGAAAAAGGCGTAAGAGGGGAAAATAAGGGTGAGAATACGAGGGGAAAAAAGGGTAAGAATAAGAGGGGGAAAAAGGTATGAATAAGTGGGGAAAATAAGGGTGAGAGTAAGGGGGAAAAAAAGGTTTGAATATGAGGGGAAAATAAGGGTGAGAGTAAGGGGGAAAAAAAGGTTTGAATATGAGGGGAAAATAAGGGTGAGAGTAAGGGGGAAAAAAAGGTTTGAATATGAGGGGAAAATAAGGGTGAGAGTAAGGGGGAAAAAAAGGTTTGAATATGAGGGGAAAATAAGGGTGAGAGTAAGGGGGAAAAAAAGGTTTGAATATGAGGGGAAAATAAGGGTGAGAGTAAAAGGGGAAGATAAGGGTAAAAGTAAGAGGGGAAAAAGGTAAGAGTAAAATAGGAAAAATGGACACGAGTAAGAGTAAGGTAGAAAAGGGAGGAAGAGAAAGAGTAAGAGGAAAAAAGGGAAAAAAAAGAGTAAGGGTAAGGTAGAAAAGGGAGGAAGAGAAAGAGTAAGAGGAAAAAAGGGAAAAAAAGAGTAAGGGTAAGGTAGAAAAATAGAGTAAGAATAAGAATAGGATAGACAAAAGAGTAAGAGAACGAGTAAGGTAGAAAATAGGGTAAGAGTTAAGTGAAAAAATGAGATGAATAGAATGAGAGAGAGAGATAAAGAGAGAGAGAGAGATGAGGGGGGGATGGAGAAAGACAAAGAAATCAAGAGAGAGAGAGAGAGAGAGAGAGAGAGAGAGAGAGAGAGAGAGAGAGAGAGAGAGAGAGAGAGAGAGAGAGAGAGAGAGAGAGAGGAAAGGATGGAGAAAGAGACAAAAATCAAGAGAGAGAGAGAGAGAGAGAGAGAGAGAGAGAGAGAGAGAGAGAGAGAGAGAGAGAGAGAGAGAGAGGAAAGGATGGAGAAAGAGACAAAGAAATCAAGAGAGAGAGAGAGAGAGAGGGATGGAGAAAGAGAGAAAGAAAATAAGAGAGACATATGAAAGAGACAGAGAGAGAGAAAGGGGAGGAGAGACAGAAGGGGAGAGAGAAAGAAAGGGAGGTTAACAGAGACACAGATGGATGAATAGATAGATGGATGTATAGATACACATCTATATAGATAAATGAATGGATAGACAGATATACAAATGGATTGATCGATTGAAAGATAAATAGATAGACAGAAAGGTGGATGGATGAGTCAATAGATAGATGGATGGATGAGTGGATAGATAGATGGATGGATGAGTGGATAGATAGATGGATGGATGTATGCATAAATAGATAGACATATATAGATAGATAGATAGACAGACAAATATACAAATGAAAGGATACATAAATCAACGACAGAAACATAATTCAAAAGTCAAATAAAGTGTACACACGGTGAGAGATAAAAAAGTAAAATATTTAGCTTGATACACACGTAGTTGGAGAAAAAAAATATATATGCTATAAATCAGTACTTACAAATGTTCATGAAGATATATGACAATGATAGAGATAGAGGTTTTGGAAATAAATATAGATATTTATCCTGTACTCAAGAAGACAGAGAGAAAGAAAGATTTTACTATCTGACTGATTAAGTGACTGGCTGACTGATTGAGTGACTGACTGACTAAATGACTAACCGGCTGACTGACTGCCTTACTGACTGACTATCTGACTGATTGATTGATTAACTGACTGACTAACTGACTGATTATCTGACTGACTGGCTTCCTAACTGATTTGACAATCTGACTGACTGCCTAACTGGTTGACTATATGATTGACTGACTAACTGATGACTGACTGATTGACAGACTGATGACAGACTGACTGACTGATGACTGACTGATTGACTGACAGACTGATGACTGACTGACTGACAGACTGATGACAGACTGATGACTGACTGATTGACTGTCAGACTGATGACTGACAGACTGATGACTGACTGATTGACTGACAGACTGATGACTGACACACTAGCTCACTGACTGACTGATTTATCACTAGCTCACTAACTGACTGATTTGTTGTTTATCTGGATGACTATCTGACTGACTGATTGACTGGCTGACTGACTGACTGATTAACTGACGGATTACTGACCGACTAACTCACTGAATGGCTAAAATACTGACTGACTGAATAACACATTGACTGAATAACTCACCGGCTGACTGATTGACTGACTCTCTGACTGACAAACTCAATAACTCAATGACTGAATAACTCACTGACTGAATAACACATTGACTGAATAACTCACTGACTGACTGATTGACTGACTCTCTGACTGACAAACTCAATAACTCAATGACTGAATAACTCACTGACTGAATAACACATTGACTAAATAACTCACCGACTGACTGATTGACTGACCATCTGACTGACTATCTGACTGACTGATTGATCGACTGACTGGCTGACTGACTAAAAATAAAACTAAGGAACAACTGTAAACTGAATAAAAGGCAATAAAACTAAACAGATATGAAAGTTGTAACCAAAAGAGCTATATGTCAAAGCGTCACATATGTGGAGATACGTGTCAGCATTAGCACAGTTGTTATTGGTATAACTTTACTCTCCCTTCACCCTTCTCTCTCTCTCTCTCTCTCTCTCTCTCTCTCTCTCTCTCTCTCTCTCTCTCTCTGTGCGCCTCTCTCTCTCTCTCTCTCTCTCTCTCTCTGTACCTCTCTCTCTCTCTCTCTCTCTCTCTCTCTCGCTCTGTGCCTCACTCTCTCTCTCTCTCTCTCTCTCTCTCTCTCTCTCTCTCTCTCTCTCTCTCTCTCACTCTCTGTACCTCACTCTCTCTCTCTCTCTCTCTCTCTCTCTGTGCCTCTCTCTCTCTCTCTCTCTCTCTCTCTCTCTCTCTCTCTCTCTCTCTGTGCGCCTCTCTCTCTCTCTCTCTCTCTCTCTCTCTCTCTCTCTCACTCTCTCTCTCTCTGTGCCTCACTCTCTCTCTCTCTCTCTCTCTCTCTCTCTCTCTATCTCCCTCTCTCTCTCTCACTTTCTCTCTCTCTGTCTCACTCTCTTTGCCTCTCTCTCTCTCTCTCTCTCTCTCTCTCTCCCTCTGTGTGCCTCACTCTCTCTCACCCTCTCTCTCTCTCTTTCTCTCTGTCTCTCACTCTCTTTGCCTCATTCTCTCTCTCACCTCTCGCTCTATCTCTCTCTCTCGCTCTCTCTCACTCTCTCTCTCTCTCCTCTCTCTCCTTGCTGCCTCTCTCTCTTTCTCTCTCACTCTCTCACTCTCTCTGCCACACTCTCCTTCACACACACTCTCCCTCACACACACGCTCTCCCTCACTCTCCCTCTCCCTTACCCATTGTACCTTAGGATCCGCCACTAAAACCAGCAACAAACATTTACAGAAGACAGACAGACTAACCTCACTACCAATGGCCCAGTTGATGAGGAATTTTTCGCAGAAGTTGAAATCAGGCGGCATGTTGGGTGTGTAGCACTCATACCCCTCATGGCCAACATATCTCTCTGGGGGAAGATAAGCATAGATGATGTGACACTGTATTATGTACAGTATATAGTGTATAGTATAGTGTATCCTGAACGTGTACACTTAATGACGAGCGAGGCAAATTGCAAGTCCCTTTACGTATGTGTAAAACAGATGTTCGGAAAAAAAAAATGAGTATGATAAAATATCGAGAGGAAAAGTCAGTCAGAAATTATAGGATTGTTAAATAAATTACACGTGTGTTTTTTATTTTATTTTTTTTACTGATAAAGGT